TGTAAGCTACATGAGAGACAAGGCAGACCACACCAGTTGCTCAAAGTACATGTACAAAAATAGTTTAAGAGTTAGATGAGGCAAAATGCAGAAGTTTTATATTTGACAAGCTCCCAGCAGCCATCACAAATACACAATTTTTAAGCATGACTTGCAATATTTGTTTTTAAGTCCAACTAAAGGAAAATGTGGAAATTTGCCCTTGGAACGGCGATGGATCTTCATCCTGGAATACTGATCTAATCACTGTGCACATTTATCTGCTCCAGCCAGTTTGTTTACCCGTGCGAGTCTGATTTTTCGGAAACTCGGCAGATAAATGGTGGCAAAGGTGGATTACCCCACGGGCTGTTATGACGACGGTCACAAATCATTTCAGTTTGATGGTTGGCTGGAACCACATCCCCAAACAAGGAACAAAATCAAATTGATGATGAGACACTTCGGATGGAACCGGAGACAGAGAGGCGTCTCAGGAACGTACCTCAGGAAACTGGTAGTCCGCTACTCACTGCAACCAACCGAAGACGGAAATTTTCCTACACAGTATGGAAGCTGTTGTGTTAGACGTGGACCCACATATGTTCATGGAATAGAGTAGCTGCAGATTTGGATCTAAAACATAGATGCTTGGCTTTAATAAACACTGCTGCCCGAAAAATCACATGGAAGAAGAGACTTAGCTTAGGTTGTCACACACAAATAAAGAGCTGTTAACTCTATAGCCTGAGCAGAAAGCTATCCAGAACATACACGCTTAACAATCCAACTATCCGCTGTATTATCCAGGTATTCTAGAGAGTATACAACAATCAAAATTGGCTTTCATGATTACTTATTTGATAAAGCCCATTTGCTATTTGAAAATCCATAATGACTGCCAACTCTCAAAAAGACTACACTTAAAAGTCATATCATACTTCATTTGCAGTCTTTGCTGTTGCAGAAATCTCCCATAGATTTCCATTCAGGATTCTTTGAGTGTGGTTTCGCCTCAATTCACGATGTCTCTGAAAGCTTTACTACATAAAGTGAGGTGTCGCGACACTGTTGAGGATCGTTGAATGATATTAGCCTACATTGATGCTGACAGGTCAGCTGAACTTTAGGAAAAATGATTAGTAAGTGCTTCAATTTCAAGTAGCCAGATGACACAGATAAAGGATGCACGTGTCCACTTATATAGCGGGACATATAATATCTGTACATAATACACAAAAAACTAAAGAGAAACGCTGGACAATGGTTAAAAAGCGGAAGAATAAAGTGCAGGGAAAGTGAAAAGGCTACAGGAGAGAAGGGGAGATGGAGAGAGAAAAAAGAGAAGTGTAGAAAAGGGTTTTGTAATCTGGGTATAGTGGTGTTGTGCCGTCTCCATGGTGACAGGCACAAAGGCCCGTGGTTGGCCATTGATGGCTAATTGTATTCTTCACAGCTCTTTTGTTAATTGTTGTCTGCCCAGCTCCCACTTCCTGCTGGGCCACGGCACAAAGCCACGAACAGGAGGGATTAGAAATGGCACATCAGCTTCCCCAATGCACAGCCAACCTCTCTCTACCTCATTCTCTCCCTCTCTTTCATTCTCTCGCTTTCTTTCTGTTTCTCTCTCCCTCTTTCTGTCCCCACAGAGCCGCACCTCCTTTTATCTGCTCCTCACTGTGTGCACTCCCATGACCTCAGAGAGTCCTTCTTTCCTTCTTTACCTTTCATTCTTTCTTCATATGAGGTCTTCACTTCTTTACTCGCACTTATGTGATGTTGGCTTGATTCTTGCTTCTTTACCTACAACACTGTCACAGTTAGCCACACAGATACAATAAGATAACATTACTGTAGAGCATAACCACATTCATGTCTTTCAGTCATGGCATCACATGGGAAATACGGACTGATGACAACTTTTCACAATTAAAGGACAGTACAAAAAAAGCACTGCTCAAACACAAGATTTGCATATGATGGTTGAAAGATAAGTTAATTTATATAATCTTCATCAGAGGCAGAGGAAGAAGAATGTTCTTGGAGCCAGCCACAGTGTGTCCAATATAAACTGTGATCATTTAAAACTCATTGGATTCTTAAATGCATTCTCTGGGAGATGCAAATTGCTACCTGGATTGTTTTCAGCGGCAAAGTGTTTCTCAGTGAAAGGAACCGGAGCGTTTTTGAACTAGCCTGAAGTTACAGTGAAATGGTGCGAGACTAAGATGCTGTTGTGTGTGTTACGTCCAAAAATGTTTGAATTTATGTGAGGCAAAGGCCAGTGCCCCTGCTACACGTTAATAAAGTCTGGTAGACTGGTAGGTGACACAGTAGAGAATCTCCACCTATCCAAAAACGTGTGTTGTAACTAATCATAAATGGTAAATGGCCTGCATTTGTATAGCGCTTTACTCAGTCCCTAAGGACCCCAAAGCGCTTTACACTACATTCAGTCATTCACCCATTCACACACACATTCACACACTGGCAATGGCAAGCTACATTGTAGCCACAGCTGCCCTGGGGCGCACTGACAGAGGCATAACTATAAAAAAAGCATAATGTAATTTTAACTTATATATCAGTAAATACTTAACTACTACACGAGTGCTTCCAGTTCATTGGAGGGAGGCGGTGCTAAAATACATCACAGGACTTTTAGGCTTTTATCTTTTATTTCAATGTGTGTTTAGGTACAAATACTGATTTGTCCTCACTCCGAAGTCATCACATACTGATGCTTGGACAGTAAGCGTCACACTGTAACCCACTGCGCACCTACTTAATGCCACCTTTCAATGTGCAGACATTGAGGGGTTCGACATGTTTCTGTCTGAAATAAACAGCATCTGCTGGTGCTGGCATGGACATGGACGTGTAACCTTTGTAACATTGTAACACTGTTAGTTTAATCTTATTCTGCTATCTTATTGCTACCTTTATATACTGCTGTTTTAAACTGCTAGCTTACTGGTAGTTTATACTGCTAGCTTACTGCTAGCGTTATATACTCCTACCTTAATCTGAAAGAATGTATTTATTAAAACTACTACCAACAAACAAAATAAACACACAAACCTCAGAGCTGAAAACTAAGACTTTCAAGCAAACGTTGAGGAGTAAATGCTGTGCCAGCTGATAAAGAATTATCCCTGCTCGATGCAGCTAACACTGCTAGCAAGAGACAAGGTAATTGCTGTTAGCTTGCAGCAATGTTTACAAGAAATCTGCTAAATTTTAAATCCAATATTTTACCTGGATATTTGTAATTGTGCTCCTGCTGTGTAAAACAAACCAGCCGTGTATGGTAACAGCTGAACACAGCTAACACTTCTGTTCTTCACTTTTAAACTTCCATCACTATGATTTATTCTTGTTTTTTCTGCCCTCAGTCATTGGGTTATTCTTTATGTTGTCACTGCCGAGCGTGATTTTGTTGCAAAACCCTTACTTACCCTAAAGTTGTTTTTTTTAAAAAAAGTGATCTGGATAGGAGTCAAACTCCTGTTTTTTTTTCCTTCGTCACGCATAAAAAGAGACGCTGAAGGTGTACAGTTTCATTCAACACATGGCAAGAAGTGTTCAGTTCAGTTCAGTTCTTTTTTATTTCAAACATTTCAAACATGTGCCTTCACAATCATTACAAAGTATTATTCCATTATTTGTTTGAAAAGGAGTAGGCAGAAGTATTTACTTATTTGTCCCTACCCCCTCAAGTTTTACCTCTCATTCATTTAATTGTTTTTTTTTTTTAGTCTTAAAAGTGTGACTGACTAAGAGACAGTGTCTAGTGAGCTAAGAGGTAGAAAGTGTTGCAAATAGTGGATACATACAGCACCCACCAAAAGTATTTGCACTTTACTGTTAGCATACTTTTAGAGGATATTCTAAGGAGCTTAGAAAGAAAAGTGTCTGGACTTCTTTAAGTTGCTTGAAGACGTTAAACCTCTCATCCGAGAAGCTTCTTCAGTTCTAAGAGTCAAATGAGTCCCAGATTTACAGGATATTGTACATGGAGTGGGGAAAAGCCCTGAAAAGAAATATAGGAATAGTTTTACACCACACTTGTTAAGCATGACAGACTTCTTTGATCAAAAGGTGGAAATTTTAAAAATGACAGGCGGTCAAATCGAACTGAATATCGACAGTATTGATACCAATACTAAAATATTGATATAAGTATCAGATCAATGGTGGCAAAGTATCAATACTTTAAATATTTTTTTATTTATGTATTTATTTAAAAAAAACACACACACACCTCAAACAAACACTCAGAAACAAACACTTTTGTGTCGTGTTTTTTGTTTTGACTGTCAGATCTATTTTATTCATTGCTTGTCTGACACATTTAAAAAAAATCACAGTGTTTAAAACGTGTGATATCGGCATTTAGTGGCATTTTTGTGGCATTTATATGGTATTGGCTCAATACCAAATTTTGCAGTATGGCACAGCGCTGAATAAAGAAAGCCTCTGTCAACAAAGATCACTCTTTGAATCAACCCAGGCTCACTCATGATCACCCCTCCCCCTTCTAATAATCTTTACTCAGTTCCGAAGACGTTTGAAAGCGCAACTTTACACGCTCTGTAATCTCATGACATTTTAAAGAGCGACCAACTAATCACTGATAACAGATTAGCTTGTAATGAAAATGACTACTAACTGCATTCTCTCTCTTTATTTATTTATTTATTTTATATGTACTTGTAAAGTTAAACGACCCTGCCGGTATCTTTGCTATTAAGTCTTGCTTATTGGATTGGTTATGGATCTAAGAGGGAGAGAAGAGGCCGTCAGTTGGTGAGGTCTCTCCAATCAATAGTCATTAACAGTGTAGTCAATGTGCGTTTCAATAGACACGGGAGCCAGTAACAGATTATCGACTCTCTCTCCCTTGATACACTGTGTGTGTGTAAGTGTTCTCACAGCCGCCACCTGGAAATTAGTCCCTCTCCCTTTAAGTGGGAGGTGAGCTGCAGGGCGCTGGGGACGGTGAGAGTTGGAAACCCAGACAAGCAAACAGAAAGTCACCGGGAGTGAGTGAGTGAGTGAGTGAGTGAGTGTGCGCGCTCCCCGTCTCCAAAAACATTTACGCATCGCAGCAGTGTTCCGCCTGCCTCTCACTCCTCACCGTCATCTTACCACAAACAGCAGCCGGCTCTCTCCACTCCGAAGGACCGGGAGGACGAGTTCGTGCGGAGAAGCGTCTGTCCCAAACCACCGTGCTTTGCATGCGGTGAGCAATTAAAGCGGGGGAGGAAGAGGAGGAGGACGGAAGTTTATCCCCCCCCCTCCTGTCTCTCTGGTGGAGAGCGCAGGGCGCACCGGGACTGGTGAGTGGAAGCTTGATGGTCACTCTTCGTGGAAATACTAACCACTGTCGTTAATAAGAACTTGGGAAGGAACTTCCCAAACTCAGATCAGTCGGAATTCCACCTCATCCATCAACCTCTAACTTTCCCAACATTCCCATTTAGTCTAACTTGCACCAGCTTCTCCATTTACGCTTTCTTTTGACTTTAATGCATAATTATGTGGAAAAATGAGCGCTGCTCTCGACCTCACTGCTCCGCTACACAATTATCGAGTGGTGTGGGAAATTATTATTATGATGATGATGATGGCGGTGGTGATGGGGATGATGTCAGTTCTGTTGGCAGATGCAAATGAGCGGATATCAGCAGGTTCACCGAGAATAGGCACAGGTGTCAACGTTTTAGCAAAGACTTCAACACCCTTCTTTTCTCCATAAAGCCCCATTTTTAGCTGATCCACTGAAGTATGGCAGTGAATAATTAGAACTTCATTAAGTTTCAGAGTGAGGAAAGTTCTCCTTGTTGTACTGTGAAATTTTGCCAGCATAGAAATATCTTTTTATAAAGCTGTGGGGTGGGAAGCAGTGGCACTGTGTTGCAGCGGTCTGGTCTGTAAAGCCGTGGAGCCCTGAGGATCAGTGATGTCAGAGGTGACACCTTAGGCTCCTTTAAGTATGTTCAGGGGTTCTCAGCATGTTAAAAGGGTCAGGCATTAGCAAGGTGGGAAACGGTTCACAGGTCTGGGAACAGTTCAGAGGTGACATCTCAGTGCCGAGTACAAAGTGTGTGGAAGGAAGGAGTGTGAGTGTGTGTGCTCGTCTTTACAGTGGCTGGTTGCATACAAAGCTGTCCATCAGTGGGGAGTCCCTGACCTTTCTTTCTGTCAATCTCCTTTCTGTCCTCTTTCACTCTTCAGTCCCATCTTCTCACCCCCTGCTGCCCTTCATTTCTTTTTCTTTTCTTTCTTTTTTGGAGGCTAGTTTAATGCTGCATCTTCATATCCTTTAGCTTACTGCACACACACACACACACACACACACACACACACACACACACACACACACACACATAACCTCGAGGACTGGTTTTTCACCCTTCACCTCCACCCCCTCCCTATCCCTCCACCGGCCCCACCTTCTCTTTTGGAGCTTTGTCTTCCCAGGTGAACGGGTTCATGCTGGGGGAAAGGTGACCTGCACCTTCACTCGTGCTTTGTTCGCTGGCCCCAGCACTGTCGTGTCTCATGCCACAGCCTCGTCATATATTGCTTTCTAATTAGCAAACATGTGTCTGCTAAGTTCATGTGCTAGCACTGCTCAAAGTAGTTACCACTGTTTTATAATAAGAATAAAGTTATAGGGGTGGAGTGAAGTTTACATTTGTTTCCTTTGTTTACTAGAAATTTCCACCTACATGGCAAACCACAAATGAAAGGTAACGTTATAAAGAATCAGGAACAAACTGATGTAATCAGAGTTTGGTTATTCAAGCTGACTGTGAAAGGGAGAACATTAGCTGCTTCTAATACCTGACAGTTTGTTACTTTGCGCTCTCATGCTTGGCAGTTTTGGATCCTTGTTAGGCCAGAAAAGCGATGTCAACCTTGGACTCCTGGGTTTTTTAATGGCCGTGATATCGACCAACTAATGAATCAGTTAATTGTGAAAGCAACTGTAGCCACAGTTTGGGCTCATTTATCAATATTGTACCATAAATGGAGCTAAGCATCAGATGTTCTCTAAAACGTTGTTGTTGTCATTGTTGCACTTGCTGCTGTCCTGTAGGTGTTAGTGAAAGATTGGGCATGTCATGATTGAAAAGAGATGTCAGTAGGTTTTTGTGGGTTTAATTTATACTGGGCACAGTAAAGAAGATTAAAGTTTATGAATTCACATCCACACTTGGTCTTCCTGTGAAGCGTGATAACAAATTGTTGTAAGCAGGCGTGTTTACAATAAATCTACTGTTAGTGGGTCATTGTTTGTACCAATTTTTTAGACTTGAAATTTGTGCGCTCCAGTCCAGTGTGTGTGTGTGTGTGTGTGTGTGTGTGTGCGCACCACTTCCTATGCATTGGATGTCTCCATCAGGGCAGCAGAGCAGACTAAGTTTTTTCCTCGTCTTTCCTCCTGACCTCTTGTATCCTCTGGACATTGTTCTCTGAATCCTATTGAACCAGGAGTCCACAGATAAACAGCACAATGGAGAATAATGGTGTGTCTGTGTGTGTGTGTGTGCGTGTGTTCCTCAGCCTGTCCTTTAGCGCAGTGTGAGGCCAAGCCAATCACGCAGAACAATTCTGGGTTTGGGGAAGCTTGTGATCTCTTTAAAAAACCCCACCATCACTGCATTTTCTCTTTTGGAAGAATCGCAACAAGCACGAGCGCTACATACATCACTACATCACTCTGCCGCTTGAGCGACAGTATAAGCATGTTGTCTGTCCGACTCTTCAGACGGGTCGGCATAAGGACTTCACTTATATTGTGCAGCAACCTAAAAATTAAATATACGGTGACTGAGTCATATCATTGTATCATATCAGCTCACTGTGCTTTAAATTTTTGCTGTTAATCCATCTTCCTGAGGGTTAAACCTCCAAACTGAACAAATTAAATTAGTTTTCATGTGCAAAGAATTTGGACAATGAGATTTAAAAATGAATAACATAGTGTAGTATAGTCGACAGTCGATCAGCTGAATCATTATTTAACCCAGGAGTCTTGAACCTGCAGCTGGTCCTGAATGTGGCTGTTTTGTCCATCTCTAGATAAAAAGTAGAAATGAATATTTAAAAAATAATAATAAAAATTCGGCATTGCCGATTTGCAACAGTTAAAAACTAACAACCTGATTACCCCACATGCATATTTTATGAGTTTTTTTACTCAGAAGTACCACTGCAGGACTTAGTTGTGCATTAGCAACAAAAAGTTAAATTTGAGCCTGAGAGGGTTAAGTGGTTCTTTACATTCTTCATCACATTAAAAAAATATTGTGTCATAGCACAGAACAACAGTCCCTCGAGGCGTGTGATACTTTAAACTGTGTACAATATATTAAAGCTAATCAGATTCAAAGCGCCCTGCAGAGGATAGTTACAGACAAACATTTTAGAACTGTGGTAGAAGTTTTGCAGTGTTTAGCACTGCTGCCTCACATCAAGAAAGTCTTGGGTTCAACTCCAGCAGGCAGATGGACCCTTCTGTGTAGAGTTTGCATGTTCTCCCTGTACCTGCATGGGTACTCTGCCTTCTCCCCTTTTCTGGAACTTGGTTGTCTGTGTGTTAGCCCTGCGTTAGCCTGGTCACTTGTTCAAGGTGTAACTTGCCTCTTCCTCTAAGACCTCAGTTGGAAGGATGGATAGCCTCTCGCTTTTACATGTTTCTATTAATTAGTAATGAGCAGTCATACACAATTCCAACTCAGACAACTTAGCGATAGCCAGCTTAGTAGTGCCTAAGTCCTTTTCATTCTTTTTATTTTATTTATTCCATATGCTGCTGTGAAAAAGATTGGCGTTGAAAGAGTTTTGTTTTACAAAAATGCAAAATTGACAATAAAGAATTTGTTTACTTTGGCAAATAAACCTGAAAAAGTAAACAGTTAAAACATATTTTTCATAAACAGTATTATTCAAAATATTCCTCCAGCCTGCTGTACTATTGTTATATGTGGTAAAAGATTTAAATTATTCACACCTATTAGTAATGTTGAAAGGTTTTTTTTTAATGTGGGCAGCAGGTTCATAATAAGGCCCAATCATGTTTGAGATTTCTTTTGGTCAGAAATTGTTAAAAAAAAACAAACAACACAGCTCTTTGATAGTAAAGTTTACCTGACTTAACACTGATTTAACTATATATTCAAAAAAGTTGCATGTTTTCTGATCTCTGATGTGATGATTTACTGCTTTCCCTACTTTTGCATGTTGGCTGGCTAAAATATGACAGCTTTAAATGTAAGAAAACATTTTCAAACAATTTAAATTAAAAAAAAAATTCACAGTTAGATATCGAAAAATTAGTATTTGTAGTTATTATCATTTTATTAACATAATATTAATAATTATTATAATACTAATTAATTAATTAATTACTCTTTAATTATAATATCAATTAATTACTGTGGTAATAAGTTCACATGTGATAGAGTTTAGAGACTTGTACTTATATTGATACTTCTGCAAAGCCAACATTTAACAATCCCTTAAAACATATAAAATCATGTGTTGTGTTAATAGAACATTATTAGAAAAGAAATTCAGCCAGCTGATTGTTATAAAAACAAAATAATATCTACCTTTTAATTTTGACAAAAATCCGTTCAAATCGCAGTATTTTATGGCGTCATCGCTGCCCACTGTTGGACAAACTATGTAATGGCAACACTATACCTAATGTCCCACCTTCATCTACTCTTAAATGTCTTATTTGCCTTTTTTTCTGTCTTATCTTGTAAAGCCCTTTTTTCTTTGTTTTTAAAAGGTGCTACATACATGAAGTTTATTATTATTACTATTAATATTATTATTATTTTCTGAGTCAAGGCTAGCCTCTCAGACCTGCGCTTCAGTTTCTTATTACCCACTTTTACTCTTACTGCACCTGACTTGTGTATAGGTGTATCTCCCGTAAAACGTCTCACTTTGACTTATCTTTTGGTCTGCAAAAACAAAAAGTTAAATTGAGCAAAAGTAATTTGGCTCCTCGTGCAGAAATAATGTGCAGACCAGTTTAAATGGCTGCGTCTTTAAAAGCTCTCCCGCCTGTTGCCTGCCTAAAGGAAACATCTGTTGAATGCAGTTAGAAGAGACTCATAAAAAAAGTAGGTAAACTGTGACATATTAGGTGTCAGTCACCAAGATCAGTAATAACTTTGCTTTGTTGTGTTTTGTGGCAACAAGTTAATCGACTCTTGCAATGCTTTAAATCATGTTCAGTGAATTGTTTTTGAGTGCATTTGGATTATTTGATTAATCGATGGTGCTGTTGATGCTATTTGCTGTTTTTCTTAAA